AAAGTAAATCAGGCAAAATTGGATGCGATTTGGCCTCGACTACGAGTCCTTGCACGAGCCCAACCGTCAGACAAATACGTGCTCGTCAAGGGCATAATCGACAGCAAAGTTTCTAAAAACAGGTGCGTTCTAATTATTTACCGAGATTTACGCACTTGAATCATAGTTCAAATATAATGTTTTTGATGTTTGTTATTGTAGAGAAGTCGTTGCTGTAACGGGGGACGGCACTAACGATGCTCCTGCCCTCAAAAAAGCTGACGTAGGATTCGCTATGGTTAGTAACTCCTGCATGATATGTCCAAGCTCCTAACTTCAGTTTTACTGCTTCAGGGTATTGCTGGTACTGATGTCGCTAAAGAAGCATCCGACATTATCCTCACGGACGACAACTTCACCTCGATTGTTAAGGTACCTCTCATCGAAGGTTTCATGAAAATTTACTTTTTCTCAAATTTTGTCTCAATTGAAGGCCGTCATGTGGGGACGAAACGTGTATGACTCAATTGCGAAATTCCTGCAGTTTCAACTAACCGTAAATGTTGTAGCTGTCACGATTGCCTTTATTGGAGCTTGTGCTATTAGTGATTCACCTCTTAAGGTAAGCTAACTGTTTAAGATTATCTAAATAGTCCTTTGCTAATGTTCCTCCTCTTTGAGGCGGTACAAATGCTCTGGGTAAATCTTATCATGGACACACTCGCTTCTCTTGCACTTGCTACCGAATTGCCTACTGAGGATCTCTTGGATAGGTACCGTGGTTAAATGTCTTTTTTAGTTCTAAAGGGATGTAAACTTCAGCTGCAGTAGTTTTCTATAAATGTAGTTACAGTATTAGTGTAGAAAACTATGAGAACAAGTCCTTCACTCACTCTTTTTTTAGAAAACCTTATGGTCGAACAAAATCGTTGATCTCACGGACAATGGTAAAAAATATCGCTGGCCATGCCGTCTACCAACTTGTCATTCTTTTCGGAATCATGTTTTGGGGTGTGTTTACCATCAGCAGATCAATCTCAGTATGATAGCATAAACATACACAAGCCTACTGCTTTAGGCGACAAATTCATTCCGAACACACCATCTGGCCGAAATGCACCATTAGGATCTCCTCCTAGCGCTCACTTTACTATTATTTTCAATGCTTTCGTACTTATGACGCTTGTTAACGAGCTCAATGCTAGAAAAATTCATGGCGAACGGAACATCTTTAAGGTGCGTCTAATTTCTTCCTCCATT